TATTCGAATATTCAAGAAAATGTATCTGTAAATTGATCAAATATCGATCAGTTCGGATTAATAATTCAATGAAACTCGTTTCGATCGTAGGATGGATCCGAATTTACAAAATTTGTTAACCCTCGTTTCTTTTTTCCTGATACGTATTCCTGAAAGAGTGTATTTTTTCTTTTTTCGAGAAGAGAAGGGAAGGTTCGAGAATGAAGGAAGATAAAAGAGAGGGGGAGAGAGAAAAAAAAGGAAAAAGAATTTTAAAAAAATGAGAAAGATGGGGCGAGTGGGGTAATATGCAGAAACCATGAAGACCGTTAGCCACCGTGACGCAATTTCCGGCCGCTTCTATCCAGAATTGGCACTCCCAATGGTCGCAGAGGACCGATGCACTTCAAAGCGGAGCCCCCGGACTCTTTCGACTCTACGATTCGTTGATTCGATTCGTCCATTTTCCGTCATTTCTCGTCGCACGAGGGAGAGAGACGACTCCCCCCCTCCGTTCCAAACTTTTCTACTTTTCCACCGTAATTGAAATAATGATGTATAAATCGGGGCGAAAGTTTGGCCAATTCTCGATTTGGAGAAAGATTTGGAAAAAGATCGAACTGGATATCTGTTAAAAGATCGTTCGGGGGGAAAAAAAAGAAGATGATGATACAGAATTTGATATTCTCCCGGAGATAATTTGATAAAAAAACTCTTTTTACATTCGAAAGTTGCCTTTTTTTAAATAAGAGACTTGTTCGAATCGAGGCTTGCTTTTCAACAAAAAAAAAAAAAAAAAAAAAAAAAAAAAAGAACAAGGAAAAGAAACGAAGCGGATTGGATTAACTGTGTAATCGAAGTTGGATCGTCATAGTCACGAATCCGTTTTTTAAATGATATCTTGGGATATCCTTCGATTAAGAGAAAAAAAATCATTCGCAAAGAATTCTTATCTTATCATCCCTTCCTCCCTTCCTTTTCATTCGCGAAGAGAAATATCGAATAAAATTCTCCTCCGTAGAAAACGCTACCGAAATTTAATTAGGGAACGAGAGATTTATTCGTTGAAACTTAACTCGTTAACTCTTAAAATCAACGTCCTTGTTCGACATAAAACGAGTTTACCTACGCAGCTTCATATACGGCGAAGCGGACAGTCGAGAGAAACTGGAGAAATTTGAGAAATGAGTCACTTAGGTGGCTGACAAATCGTTGCATCATTCTTAATTACGAACGTTTGATCGCATTCCTATTTTATTTTTTACTTTCTACCACGAAAAAGAAAAAAAAAAAAAGAAAAACCAATTCTCAATCCCGATTGCAAGAAAGATTGACAATATCTCGATGATGATCCCTCGTTTCGACGAAAATCGAAATTTTCCAGAGAGAGAGAGAGAGAGAGAGAGAGAGAGAGAGAGAGAGAGAGAGAGAGAGAGAGAGAG